GGTCAGTCTGATCTGAGTCAGATCTTGGGTGGGCGTCTACCTTCCTCTGTGGGTGACTATTAGAGCTACAGAAAAGGTAACCTTGTGTATATAATGCAATGCATTTTACTTACTTATTCTGTTGATAAATTCTTCACATCTTTCCATACCAGTATGTCTCACCCTTTGTTTTTAAGAGCTATGTAACCAATTCTTTAAAAATAAACACTTGTTATCAGTTTTTTTTGCTGCCCAAATCTGTGAACTAGAATTCAGATTTCTATATTACAGAGCCAAGAATAAAAAATAAGAACTTCATACTTCTCCAGACTTAATTCTTTAAATGTTTATCATCAAATGTATTCAGAAAATGATATGTATAATGCTTTATGGGAAGATTTTACAGTAATAACAGTATAATAGTAATAATAACATCTTTGTGATCATCATTATTTATAAGTGGGCCTTGGACAGGTTTTGTCTCCTGAGGCTCCTGACCTGACTTCTCTCCATCCTGCACCATGAATGACCTCTAACTTGATGTTTTATTCTCCCTAACCTTTGCCATCTTTTTTTTTTTTTCCCACTAAATGGTATTCTTTTAGTTTTACCTTTAGATATATGAGTATAGGGGCACCTGGGTGGCTCAGATGGCTGGGTGTCTCCTTTGGGCTGGGGTCATGGTCCCAGGGTCCTGCAGTCGAGCCCCACATCAGGCTTCCTGCTCGGCAGGGAGCCCGCTTCTCCCTCCCTCTACTATTCCCCCCCGTGCTTGTGCTCTCTCACTCTGTCAAATAAATAAAAATAATAGATAATTAGATAAATAAATAAATAGATATTAATGAAATCACATTCAAAATGTGTTTTGGTTGGTTCTTTGCAATGGTATGTTTCATAAATGCTTGTATCTTGAGGCTGCGAGCCATCCAAGTTACTCACCCATTGCTTTGCTTTTGGTATTTGGACTTTTTCAAATTTCATTTTTACTCTCGTTAAAAATACAGCTCCTTTCTTTCTTGTGTCAGACTCCCAAGTGCAAATACACAATAAATTCTCTGGACATTGGAGGAATATTGTAGCTCGTGATCAAACTCAGATTGACAGGAAATGGCAATGGAGCATGTCAGTTGATGGTTTCCTCCATTTGTGCATGATTTATGTATTTGCTGACTGGTCATCCACACCTGGCATTATTAAATTGACTAATTTTTATCCTAATCAGTATGAAATGTAATGTGCTTGGCCTTTTTTTTTTCCCTTATTACTTAGCAGAAAGACTTTCTTTTTTTAAGATTTATTTTTTTAGAGAGAGATGGCACAAGTGGCAGGGGCAGAGAGAGAGAAGGAAAGAGAATCCCAAGCAGACTCTGCACTGAGCGTGGAGCCCTACGTGGGGCTTAATCCCACAACCCCAAGATCACGACCTGAGCCAAAACCAAGAGTCAGATGCTTAGCCAACTGCACTATGGAGGCATCCCCAGATGGACTTTTTTTTTCATATATGGTCTTTCATCTTCCTGTTAAATATGTTTTGATTATTTTCTAATTTTTAAACTGTTCACTCTTACTCTGCAAACTATTTTTTTAATATAGTTTTTTAAGATTTTATTTATCCATTTGACAGAGAGAGAGAGCACGAGCAGGGGGGAGCAGCAGGCAGAGGGAGAAGCAGGCTCCCCACTGAACAAGGAGCCTAACACAGGGCTTGATCCCAGGACTCTGGGATTGTGACCTGAGCTGAAGGCACACGCCCAGCCAACTGAGCCACCCAGGCGCCCCTAACTCTTTAGTATTGCGCGTTATTACGGATATTTTCTTCTACCTTGTTTTTTAATTTCCTTAGTTTGATTATGAATTGTTCAGTCTCTTGTTTCAGGTCTTACTCTTTCCCTCTTATGAGAAAATTCTCCCTATTTTTGGGTCAATGAAGCATTCATCTATGACTTCTACAAGTGTCCTAGTTTTATCTTTCACATTTAAATCTATAATGAATTGGCTATTTTTCATGGAATAGAAGTGAATACAATGCATTTTTCCAGGTAGATAACAGTTTGTCTTTCTGGGAGCGCCTGGGTGGCTCAGTCAGTTAAGCATTTGCATTCAGCTCAGGCCATGATCCCAGGGTCCTGGGATCGAGCCCCGCATTGGACTCCCTGCTCAGTGGAGAGTCTGCTTTTCCCTCTCCATCTGCTCCTCCCCCTGCTCATTCTCTCTCTCCCTCTCTCTCCCCACCTCACTTTCAAATAAATATAGAAAATCTTTTAAAAAAATTAAAAGGGTTTCTGATGTCTGCCACTGTACAGATCACAGCGCCTGATCTGCCCTTGACCAGCTTCCAGAATTTAATGCTGGCCCATGGAAGATGCTTTTCCTCTTGGTCTGTTTTTCTCTCTGCTAATACTGTGCTGTCTGGAATGCTATAGTTTAAGAAACTTTGATGTGTATTAGGCAAGCCACCCCTTTGTTCTTTGGAAGAACTTTTTTCCTCATACTAGGTTTGAAGGAATAGTTTTTGTTGACCCCTAAAAAGTCTGTTTTGGGGATTGATGGGATTTTATAGAAAAACATTTTGGGAGAGGAAACATCTTGGGAAATGGAGTTGTTTCTAAGAACATGTACCATATTTTCACTTTTTTCATTCTTTGATGCTCAATAAAAATGTAAATCTTTTTGGGCACCTGGGTGGCTCAGTCAGTTAAGCCTCTGCCGTTGGCTCAGGTCATGGTCCCAGGGTCCTGGGATGGAGACTCACATCGGGCCCCCTGCTCAGTGGGGAGCCTTCTTCTCCCTCTGCTTGTTCTCTCTCTCTTTTGTCAAATAAAATCTTTTTTAAAATTTAAATCTTTTTCTATTAGGATCATTAAATATCATCCATTTGTTTTGTTTAGTATTTAATTAAATTGGTTTGGCAGGGGAGTGGGGGGAGCGCCTGGCTGGCTCAGTTGGAAAAGCGTGCGCCTCTTGATCCCAGGTCATCAGTCTGAGCCCCACATTGGGTGTCGAGATTACTTAAAAATAAATAAACTTTAAAAATTATAAGACAGGGGACGCCTGGGTGGCTCAGTTGGTTGGACGACTGCCTTTGGCTCAGGTCATGATCCCGGAGTCCCGGGATCGAGTCCCGCATTGGGCTCCCAGCTCCACGGGGAGTCTGCTTCTCCCTCTGACCTTCTCCTCACTCATGCTCTCACTGTCTCTCTCTCAAATAAATAAATAGAATCTTTTAAAAAATAATAAAATAACAAAAATTATAATATAAGTAAATTTGTTCTGGAGGAAACCAGATGCAAGCTTCAAGGAGATGTTACCTCCTATTGTACTCCGTAGAAAGGGTTCAGTCCCCCAAGCGACATGTTGTGACAGCACATGTAAATTTTATCTTCCCAGGAAGCTTATTTAGAGACTCAGTGCCTGGGTCACGCAGGCACCCCCTTCTGTGCATAATGAAAGTTCAGACTCTCAGAGCAAAAACTAGAGTTTGGGCTGTATCATATTCTTTGCATAAACAGCTTATGGCACACTGAGTCACTCTCAGCAGGTTGCTGGGCTCCCTCCTACCTCTTGGTGGCTGGGAGCCACCAACCAAGGACAAATACCATGGGCAGGTGTTCATAAGGATCAGCAATCTCATGCCTGCTAGTAGTGTCCACTCCCTTCTGCACACTGGGTCATAGGACATTCTGTGAGCAAGTGCACGGGTCCATTATAGAAAAAGTCATTAGAGCCCACCCAGGGAGCTCATTTTACTTCGTGGATCTACCAAGAAGTGTGAGTTTCCCCTCTCTTTTCTTAACCAAATGGGTGAACTCTGCCATCCAAATTACTGTGTGGGAGCTATATCCCCATATAGACATCTGTGGGTTAATCATCTTTTTCAGAGACCAGCATTTAGGGGAATGAATTAGCTGCAGGTTATGCAGGCCCAGAGGTGAGGCAGTCATACTCCTGTGCCATACCTGAGGGGACAGAAGTGAGAGAAATGGAAGGGCGGCCTCCAGAGCAGCTGGTTGAAAATCACTGCCTCCTGAAATTGGAGAAGGGAGGTCTTCTGTTCTCTTGGAGGAAAACGCCGCTGAGCCCTGTGTGTGTTTTACAGCAGTGGGCACACTTGCCACCGAAGCACTGTGGCTTTCAAACGAACTTCCTTGCAAATTGCAGCTTTTATCCCATTCCGCACGCTCTGCAGGGCCCGGAGTACACCATTAATGGTTCTGGAAAAGCTCTTCTAGCCTCTTAGCCATCCCAGTAGATGTGCGTATAAATGCTAAAAGTTGGTGAGCGGCAGCTCTGAGGCCCATGAATGTAGGGATTTTTGTAGAGTTCTAAGTTGTGATGCCTTCTTTTTGAGCTGTAGTTTCTGGGTAACTCACTCGCCCATGAAATGGGACAAATAGAAAGGAGTAACTCCGTTTCTGACAAAAATTCTTACAAGTTAAAATTAATACTCTCTGCTAGGTGTGTTCATTCAGCCAGTGGCATCCGACTACTTCTTATGGCCTGGAGTGCTTCAGGACAATATGGCCAGCGGGTGCTGGTTATACAGTGGATCCCCACAGGCCCTCTGGCCTTACATGTCTGGCGATGGACATAGAAGGAAAAGCTCCCCATGTTTCACTGTGTTTTTACACATTAAAACTTCATGAGGATGTGACCCTGCACTTCATGGAGTGCTGTGTGATATGGTGGCTAGTAAGGAAGGAGCTGAGTTTTTTTCTCACAAGGAATTGGTGGTCTCAAAATGCAAATGTTTCTTTCCTTGTATATCATTTCTCGCATTCTCTGACGTGCCTGGGATGCTACCATCAGAGAGCAATAAGATTTGAACATAGTAAAAAAGTAGAAATAATTTCCGTGTGTTCATGATGTTCCTAAATGTATGAGAAATGATTACATACAGAGCGTGAGAATTCTGATGACCAAGTCATAGAATTTTTTGAGATTACAGAATCATGTGAGCTTCTTACGACTTGACTGTAGATTCCTAGTGCTGTCTTATCCATCCTCCTCTGCACATATGTGGGATGTTTTAGGACCCAGTGGCCTTTGAGGATGTGGCTGTAAACTTTACCCTGGAGGAGTGGGCTCTGCTGGATCCTTCACAGAAGAAGCTCTACAGAGATGTGATGCGGGAAACCTTGAGGAACCTGGCCTCAATAGGTAAGGACGACACCTTACTTTCACCTTGTCATTTAGAGGACAAGTGTTTCTCGCCCATCAGCATTCTTTGATTTGGAATGGGAAAAGGAATACTCCGGTAACTCAGGCATGGTCAGAACTCATCAAGGACTTGTAATAATTCTTCTATAATTTATTGTTTTTTTTCTGGGTTTTCATTGTAGGGAAAAAATGGAAAGACCATAACACTGAAGATGAGTACAAAAACCAGGGAAGAAAACTAAGGTGAGTAGCACTCACGGTGGAAAGCAGCATCCAAGGGAATCTTTGTATGTTATGAAAATGCAAAAGCAAGCCTAGTTTCAGATGTATTTTCTTCTAGAAAATTTTCACCAAAAATGTTTTCTTAAATGTGACACATCTTCAGTGTTTTCAAAAATAGTTCATTTGGAATTATTATCCAGAAACTCCATATGTGACTATCACTGTTTTCATATAATAGTTATGGTTGAGCCCCTCTTGCAGAATATTCATTTTCAAACAATTCAGACAAGACAGAAAAACCTGCCCATTCCCCTACATGTAAATGATAACAATGTAATTCTGGTATTTACTAATAGATGGGAAATCACAATAATACACTTCTGATGGTTTTTGGTTTTTGTTTTACAGAAGTCATACGGTAGAGAGGTTCTGCCAAAGTAAAGAAGGTAATCAGTGTGGAGGAAACTTCAGTCCTATTCCAAATCTTAATCTGAACAAGAAAACTACTGAAGTAAAACCATGGGAATGCAGCGTGTGTGGAAAAGTCTTTATGCGCCATTCATCCCTTAACAGGCATAAGCGATCTCACACTTCACCGAAACCATACAAGTATCAGGAATATGGAAAAAAGCCTTATAAATGTAAAGAATGTGGAAAAGCGTTCAGTTATCTCCAGCCTTTTCAAAAACATGAAAGGAATCACAGTGTAGAGAAATCTTATAAATGTAAGGAGTGTGGGAAATCCTTTAGATATCGCCAGTCTGTTCGAAAACACGAAAGGACTCACACTGGAGAGAAACCCTATCAGTGTAAACAGTGTGGAAAAGCCTTCAGATATCATCAAACCTTTCAGACACATGAAAGGACTCACACTGGAGAGAAGCCCTATCAGTGTAAGCAATGTGGGAAAGCCCTCAGTTGCCCCAGTTCCTTTCGAAGTCATGAAAGAACTCACACGGGGGAGAAACCCTATGAATGTAAAAAATGTGGTAAAGCCTTTAGTTGTCCCAGTTCCCTTCGAAAACATGAAAGAACTCACACTGGAGAGAAACCCTATGACTGTAAGGAATGTGGGAAAGCCTTCATTTCTCTTGGAAGCTTTCAAAGACACATGATAACACATACCGGAGTTGGACCATACAAATGTAAGGAATGTGGGAAAGCCTTCAGCTGTCCCAGCTCATATCGAATACATGAACGATCTCACACTGGAGAAAAACCCTATGAATGTAAACAATGTGGCAGAGCCTTTAGTTGTTCTAGTTCCTTTCGAACACATGAAAGGACTCACACTGGAGAGAAACCCTATCAGTGTAAAGAATGTGGAAAAGCCTTCCACTGGCTGACCACTTTCCAAGTGCATGTGAGAACTCACACTGGAGAAAAACCCTATATATGTAAGCAGTGTGGGAAAGCCCTCAGTTGTCCCACTTCCTTTCGAAGACATGAAAGGACTCACACTGCAGAGAAACCCTATGAATGTAAACAATGTGGGAAAACCTTCAGCTCTCCTCTAGGTTTGCAAATACATGGAAGAACTCACACTGGAGAGAAACCCTATAAATGTGAGGAATGTGGGAAAGCATTTGTTTCTCTCACAAGTTTTCGAAGACACATGATGACACATACTGGAGATGGACCTTATAAATGTAAGGAATGTGGGAAAGCCTTCAATTGCCCCAGTTCCTTTCGGATACATGAAAGAACTCACACAGGAGAGAAACCCTATGAATGTAAAATATGTGGCAAAGCCTTCAGTTGTTCAAGTTACGTTCAAGTACATGAAAGAACGCACACTGGAGAGAAGCCCTATGAATGTAAGGAATGTGGGAAAGCTTTTATTTATCGTACAACCTTTCGAGGACACATGAGAGTGCACACTGGAGAGAAACCCTATAAATGTAAAGAATGTGGGAAAGCCTTCAGTCGACCCAGCTCGTTTAGAAGCCATGAAAGAATTCACACTGGCGAGAAACTTCTGGAATGTAAACATTGTGGGAAAGCCTTCAACTGGCCCACATCCTTACATAAACATGTGATGAGAATGCACACTAGATAGGTAAATTATAACTGAAAAATACAGGAGAGTTTTCACTCTTAACAAATACAAGGTCATGTAAAAACATCACTGGAGAGAAATGCTATAAATGAAAGCAATAGGGGAAAGTCTGATACAAATTAATTCAAGTATAATACTCCAGAGAATTCGCTACATGAAAGAAATGCTTCAAAATTAAAAATAATGAATTTCATTCTGAAACTCAGTCTCTGGACTGTGGCTTCCAGTTGTTGCTTTTCAGCTGGACACTGAGTCGAGACAATTCTGTAACCACTGTTTAAGCAATAGTACATACGTAAGCCTAGTAGATACCGTTTTTCATTGAATCAGGTCATAAAATTTTTGTCTTTCCCTTTTGAAGTCTGTTGGGTCAATGGATGAGTTAAAGCGTATTTCTAATATGTAAGGAGGGCTAATTTTTTAAATTTTTTTAATTGTTCAGTAAGTGAAGGGGCCAAGGAATAATGACATTTTGGTATTTGTTGAGATTTTCCCTATTGACCTTATGTCACAGATACTGGGTATTCCTTATCCATTATAAATAGTCCTCCTTTCATATGAGAAAAGATTTCCTTCTTTTTCTTTCATCAAAAGAGACTTATTTTCCTGGCTAATAAGTAGTTGGCATACATTTGTAAGTATGCAGAGTTTATCATAGAGTATTATCTCATTAGAATTGCTGTTTACTTATTTTCCTTTTATTCTTTGTCATTTCTCCTGTGGGTTTGGATATTACACTTTAAGAGACCTGTGATCAAACAAACAAACAAAAAAACAATGTAGAATTGGAGATGGCTCTCCTGGAATGTGCCAGGTCAACATGGGTAATGTTTTGACCTAATTTTCTAGAATCTGTTCTCTTTATAGTTTCCTATTAGAATTCATTAATAGCCTCACTTGCATGAGATTTGGAAGGCAGAAGGGAAGAAGGCCTTCATTTTTGGAGTTACAGTACAGGCAGTGATAGAGACCAGAGGCGTTTTCCACACACCTTTCAGGCCATTCTTTGCCCTGCCAGTCAAGAGTATCTTCAGTGCCACCACCAACTACTTGACTTCCATTTTCTCAGAGCATAGGTTTCCACAGATGTGTCCACAAGTTCCACAGCAAAGATCGATGCCATTTGGATTTTCCTGCAAGCCATCCTGTGTCCACCAGGCAACACATGTAGACTGTCATGGTTGAGAATGTCCTTTAAAGCGCTGACATCTTTCTTCTCTGGATTGTATTTGTATAAGGTCTAATACATGTAGTGAGCATCTTGTCCTGGGTTCCTCATTCCACCAGCACAGCTACAGTGATGCAGTCAAAAGGAGCCCTGTGGTAGTTTGTTTTTCTACTGCATTGTACAGTGACTTCTGTGACCCAGTCCTTTCTTGTGAGAATAACACCTTCCTCTTACAGGCAGACCGTGGGTGTTTCTCATTACTCACAACTGAACCTAATTCTTCAGTACATTTTCAGTTATGTTTGTATGTGATTTACATTTCTTTTATCAAACCAACATTTCTGTACATGTTCCTTTAAGGTGTCTTATTAACTGCTGTATACTAACAAATATTATTTTCTCCATTTCCTGATAGTATATATTAAAACATGCCATTGCAATTGTGGATTTTCAAATCAACTTGTAATTTTGTCCTCACGATACATTCTGGGCCAATATCATCATGTGCATACAAGTTAAAGTATTTTTCCCTCAATTTTTTTTATTCTGTAGTTATAATTTTTGCAATTAAACAAATTTGTCATCATCCTTAATTCCAAAAACTTACATCATGGTTTTGTCAGTGCCTTCTTGCCAGACACTACCAGAATGACATCTGTAGTCAAAAAGAGAGGGGGAATGAATTATAGTTTAAATTAAAGATGACCACAAACCATAAAGAACAATGGATATTGGGCACCTGGCTGGCTCAGTTCATGGACCGTGTGATTCTTTATCTCAGGGCTGTGAGCTTGAGCCCCACGTTGGGTTGTACAGACTACTTTAAAAAAATAAGTAAAACCTTTCTGGGGGCACCTGGGTGGCTCAGTTGTTGAGCATCTGCCTTTGGCTCAGGTCATGATCCCAGGGTCCTGGGATCCAGTCCCACATCGGGCTCCCTGCTCAGTGGGGAGCCTGCTTTACCCTCTCCCACTCTCCCTGCTTGCGTTTCCTCTCTCGCTGTGTCTGTCTCTGTAAAATAAATAAAATCTTTTAAAAATACAAGTAAACGCTTTTTTTAAAGATTTATTTTATTTTAGAGAGCATATGAGTTGGGGGACAGGATGGGCAGAGGGAAAGAATCTTCAAGCAGACTCCCAGCTGACCCAGGGTTCGAGCCAATGACCCGTAAGATCATGGCCTGAGCCAAAACCAAGTCAGTTAACCAGTGAAAACCAAGACACTTAACCAACTGAGTCACCCAGGTGCCCCCAAAATAAGGAAAATTTTTTAAAAAATGGATTATATCAGTGTGAAGTTTCTCAAAAGGTCTAGGATTTGGACTTGTGAGACTCCTACAGAGATTAATACATTTAAAAGCAGACATGTAAAAATTAAAAAAAAATTTTAAGTAAAAAATAAAAGGAGACACATATATGGGGGAATTGGGGTGGAAATCACACCCATCCACAGACTGAGGTAAGACCCATGCCCAGAAAAGGCCTTAGAATACCTTAAGTCTTCATGCTGGGCTGGCAGTAAAGGTCTTTCTCTCTGCATGGAGCCAGCCTGCAGGGTTCAAATGCCCAAGTTTCAACAGAAGAGCACAAGGCTCACAAAGATACTTGAAAACATGGCCCACTTGAACAAATTAAATCATAAATCTCCAGAAGCCAACCCTAATAATGAAACAGAGGCTTCAGAGTTAGGAGACAAAGAATTTAAAGTAATAACTCTGGGGCACCTGGGGGCTCAGCTGCTTAAATGTCCAACTCTTGACTTGGGCTCAGGTCATGATCTCAGGGTTGTGAGATCAAGCCCCACATCCGTGCCCAGCATGGAGCCTGCTTAAGATTCTCTTCCTCTGTACCTCCCCCAACTTGAGTGTGTGCACACACTCTAAATAAGTGTGTTATATATATTTACATATATATTATATTAATACATATTTATTATATATGTATATAACTCTTAAAGGGCTTAAGAGAAAAATAAGAAATTGAGAACATCACAGAGAATTATTTTTAAACTGAATTGGAAAAAAGTCACTAAAGGGATCAAAAGCAGATTTGTACATGCAGAAGAAACAATCTGTGAACTTGAAAATTGGTCATTTGAAATGGTAAATCTGAGGAGCAGAGAAAGAGTAAAGGAAAGTAGGCCAGGGAACATCTGGGATACCATTAAACCAACCAATATTCACATTATGGGAGTCCCAGAAGGCGCAAAGGGAGAGGAAGGGGCAGGGAATTGATTCTTCTTGGTCTGATACTTCCATTATGCATATGTTTTTGTACTTAGTATTCCATGTTTTCCAAGGACTCTTCATTTTTCTTCATTCTAACCTGTTCTTCAGATTGCATAATCTCTCTCTATCTGTAACTCCTCGTTGATAGTCTTTAATGTGACATCATCGTACCCTCTTTTACTTCAACTGTGGTTTCCCTTAGTTCTTTGAGTAGATTGATAATGGCTGCCCTGAAGTCCTTGTTAAATCTGTCATCTAGACCATCTTGCAGGCACTTGTCTGCCTTTTTTCTGTTTGTAAGTCAGTCCTTTCCATTTTTTTTTGCAAGTATTATACATTTTCAGTCGAAAATTTGACATTATAGATCCTATACTTCCCAGGGCTGCTTGTCTGTTACATTTGCTTTGAGATTAGCTAGCTGACATTTTGGTGACATCAGTTTTTTTCCACATGGGAGCGTCTGATGTTGCTCCCCAGGGGACCCAGCCTCGGGCTTGCTCACAGTCACAGTGGGATGACCGGTTTTGACAGGACGCTCATTGCCTTTCCCTGATCACACTGTCGCGGCAGACTGCTTCATTGTTTTTAATGGTACCCTGGGACGCAAATGACCCCAGTTTCATTCCTGCCTCTTTGTGGAAGCAGTTTTTGAGGCCAGTGTTTGAGACTTCTGATCCCAAGAAGGCTTTCCTTGTCTCTTTCCCTGGTTCTCTAGTAAACGAGCCGGTCTGCTTTTTTCATCTATTGATTTCATGAAGCTACTAGCCGCCTCCTCTTGGCTTGCTGTCAAAACCTCCCTTGTCTTTAAGAGCACCCTTCGTCTTGAACTTCCACCATTTGTTTCAAATAAAGTTCACCCTTCTAGAGAGAGCTTCGGAGCTGTCTGCTCTTAGGAACTGCCTCTGCTTGTGAACAAAATCCTTGCACCACAGCTCTGGAATAATGGGTGGGGTCATTCGCCTGCATTTCTCGGAATAACCCTCCACCCACTTTTTTGGAAAGATTTTAATAGAGCAACAGGAGGGTCAGAAGGACAAGCAGACTCCACACTGAGTGCAGGAGCCCTACCCAGGGCTCAATCATGACCTGAGCCAAAGTCAGACTGAGCCCCTGAATAACCCCCTTCTAGGGAAAAAACGCTAGGTGTGGGTGGCAGCCTCTTCTTGACCTGCCTTTCGGCATAGGATTTCTGCCCTATAAATGAGCTAGGAAGAGGGCAGTTGGGCCTCAATGTTCTTAACATGCCATATCTGAAGTGGGGTCTCCACACCTATCAGTGGCAGCCAGATGGAAATGGTCCCCTGCAGTCTGTAGCTGGGAGGGAATGACAGAGGCTGGTGCCTGCCCCTCCCGGGAAGATAGATCCCTGGACTGAGAGCAGGGTTTGGGGAAGCCTTGTGTTCTTGGCTGCCCCTGCCTGGTGTGGGGTTTGCATCATTGACAAGAGAGGGGCAGAAAGCAAGGTGTGGTTTCAATGCCACAGACTCTCACTCCCCTTACTCTTACTTCGGTTTTACTGAATACGTGTTTATTTGTTATATCCCATTATGACACTTTCCAGAGGCTTGCAATAATTGGATTTTTTAAAAGATTTTATTTATTGGGGCGC